ATATTTATGCTTGTCCAACGAGAAAACTCGGAGGAAAGCAAGTACAAAGTAGCTAGAATCAACTTTGCAAGTTGATTGCAGAATCAACAATGCAATCAGTCAGTTTGCATTATATGCTTACTGTAGACAGTTCTAAAGCAGAATTAGAAATAGCAAATTTAAAACCACCCATGAGTCTCCCTCTTCCCCATTAGACTGGTGAATAGAACAGAGCCATACAGTTGATTTTGGGTGTATTCTGGTCTCTTAGAAAGAAACTGCCTCCCCAAATTTCAAAGAATGAACAAGTTATATATATATATACAAAAATAAGGGTAAGCATGATGAGGGGATAGAATATGACTGTAAAGCTGAAAATTATGAAATATTCTAAAAAAGGAATTGATACGGTAAGAAGTTGGTTGATAAAAGAAAGAAAAAAAGAGGAAAGAATGTGCTCAGGCATTTATTGAACTTCTGTGGTTGTAAAGCTACGCCAGCTTTTTAACATTTGTATCCTGCAAAATGGTCCTCATGGCTATTTATTTCCTTTGTCCTTTGGAGCTGGTGCATCATTAAGCCAAAACAATCTCTTTAAATTCTCAGGTCTACTATATAGTCTATGAGGGGTCCACCACATTTGCATGTTCAATAAATATGGGGAGACAATGTCAATGATAGCATTGTTTATATTTCCAGCTAGAAATTTCATCTGAGTTTGTGTAAAGATGCAGATATTCTAACTCAAGAGTTGAATGCGTACATTGTGGTAATTAGCAATGCTTCAAATTATAGACCACTGATGTTTCTTGTACAACTAATCATCAATTTGCTATGCTAATGAGAAAAGCAGGAAATGACTGCAAGAAACAATGAAATCATCAGGGATGAAAAAGAAATTGTTTTTAATGCATTGCAGATCCAGTCTCAGCCACCAGTCAAAACTTACCAGAGTGATTTAGAAATATAAATTCCAATAAGTTTTTTTCCTTTTCTTTAGTGTCCTTTAAGGAAGCTATGTCCAAATGAGCAGCTTTGGTCCAAAATGACCAAAATATACAATAGACAAAGGGCTAGTCAGTGGTTCTAATATAATTCCTAGGGAGCTTTAAAAATATATCAGTGTAGAGTCCTCATTCCAGACAATTTAAATTAAAATCTCTATGGAAGGGGCTGCATTAATCCATCAGTTGCATAAGTTATTTCAGGTTGATTCTAGCTACTTGTACTTGCTTTCCTCCGAGTTTTCTCGTTGGACAATGAGGGTCTCGGGTAAATCACTTCTGGTTCTACCACCACCAACCCCCCCTCACTCCACTTCCAGGTAGGAGAACCTAGACAGTGAGACAGTCTTCTAGGTGATTCCCACGATCCGGTATTTTTTTTTTTAATTTCTTTATTTATTTGACAGAGAGAGAAATCACAAGCAGGCAGAGAGCCAGGCAGAGAGAGAAGAGGAAGCAGGCTTGCCACCGAGCAGAGAGCCCGATGCGGGGCTCGATCCCAGGACCCTGGGATCACGACCTGAGCCGAAGGCAGAGGCTCCAACCCACTGAGCCACCCAGGCGCCCCCACGATCCGGTATTTTAAAATACTTTCTTAATTGGTATCTTCTTTGTTAAGGGTTAGGATAGTTTTCTCCCAAGGAAATCTCTATTTGAGAGAATGTGAGGTGCCTGAACATTATCTACCTAGTATCACGATAGAAGAAAATGGGAAGTTATCACCTAGAAATTACAATTCCCCACTGAGCTCCATGTGCCAGGCTCCTGGAAACTGTTTCCAGTGAATTCCATGTGTTCCCCAGTTCCAAGAAGAGCAGCAGTCTTTGGACTGTGCTTCTTTCCTCCTTCCCTTAGATTTTAAAAAAGTCTTTAAAGATTTAAAAAAAAAATAAAATCCTAAAGAAGTTCTGTAAGGGCCTCTTTAGCCAGAGCGATTCCATCTTGGATTAAGCAGTCATTTTGCTGTTTATGCAGTAAAACTTAAACTGTCCCTGCCCCCCTTCCCCCCCAGGGTACTTACTTAAAAACAAGTCCCGGAAACCAGTCCCAGGTAACAAAGCCCAAATACAAGGGTGGGTCAGACCAGGTGGGGACATCCAATGGGGGGGGCGCATACTGTCTCCCTGGCTACCAAGGAGTATGGGCCCCGCCTTTTGGGCACCAATTCTGACCAAGGTGATAGGCTAGTTCAAATGTCTACTATAGGGTAAATTGTAATTCAATTGGTCACTTATGTGTGACCTAGCAGGACTGTGCAGCTTTCTCTGTGTGTTACAATTTCACTGGCCACCTGTGTGTGGCCAGGCCCAACCGCATGGCCTTTGCCCTTAAAAGCTAGTCTGTGAAGCAGAGAGAGGTCGCCCTCTTTGTAAGAGGCGCGGCCCCGAACGTTCGGTTTGATTCTTGATGCTTGGCGCAAAATAAAGCTTTGCTTGACCTTCACTTTGTATCAGTCTTGCTCCTTTAATCACGGACCCATTATTGGGGGAACCCAACAGTTTTAATAGTTTGCATTATATGCTTACTGTAGACAGTTCTAAAGCAGAATTAGAAATAGCAAAATTAAAACCACCCATGAGTCTCCCTCTTGCCCATTCTAGAGATAAACATCATTTATATCATTAGTGTATATCCTTCCGTTTTTTTCTAAGTATAGAAACATGTGTTTTATTTTACAGAATTGGGTGATACTATATGCACACTTTTGTAACTTGCCTTTTATGCAGCCTGCTCTTATAGTCCAAGCAGTGTGTGTGTGTGCACACACGTGTGAGATCAGACTTCAAAATCAAGATTTCTGTGTATGCAACGAAGCCCATCATAGAGACTTACCCTCAATTATTTAACCACCCCCTACATTAAACCTTGATTATTACTTCTGACATTGGCCTTCTTTTTCCTTTTCCCATTATATCAGAAAACAAGATCAGTCACCATCTTGGTGAGTTTGTGCAGATTCCTCTTCCTGACCAATGCCATATAACTGCGGACACTGAGCCCCTCACTCTCTCGTTCTGCTATGTTCCTCAGTATTTGTACACAACACCTTCCCCAGAAGTGATGATTACTCAAAAATCCTGAGGCTTATTTCACCATTGTCTAAATGTCTATGTACGGAGATTTATCGTTTTAGCAGCTAACCTACATTCAGTGTTTACTATGTAGTTAAGTTTCTACGTATTTTTTCATTTTATCTTTATGACAACAATGTAGGAGCAAATGCTCACAGCTGTCCCCATTTTTACGGTGAAGAAAATGAGGTTTCCTCCAACTTGCCCAATATCACAGCCAGTAAGAGGCAAAGCTGGACCCAAAATCCAGAGCTATTTGCTTCTAAACCATTTTTTTCTTTATTATAAACCGAAGTCTTATTTTTTCATATTTTCTTAGCTTTTGCCTAATGTTCCAGGATCCTAACCAAGGTACTATATTGCATCAATTATGATGTCTTCTCAGATTCCTCTTAGCTGTGACAGTTTCTCACTTTCCTTTTTTCTCCACATTATTTAAAAAACTCATACAGTCAACTCTCATCCTCTGTAAGACCACAGCAGTTATAGTATTCTGTGCACTCCGATGATGGACTCGGGTCCTCACAGCAACCCTCCAGAACAGATATTATAATCCTCATTTTCTAGATGAGAAAGCACTCTCAGATGAAAACTAAAGGCCCAGGTCACAAAGCTAGCAAGTGGTAGAGCTGGGATCCTAACTCAGGACTGTCTGGCCGGCAGTGTCATGTTCTTTTCACTACTGTAGTTTAGTATATGTGTGGGAGGCAGTGGGGGGCAGGAATCTCAAGCAGCCTCCACCCAGCATGGTGCAGAGGCTTGATCTCAGGACCCTGAGATGATGACCTGAGCCAAAATCAAAAGTCAGACCCTTAACTGACTGAACCACCCAGGCGCCCCTATATGTGCTTTTTAAAAATAAATTTGAATGCTAATGTCAGAGTCACTGTCATAAAGAAAATCTTTATCTTGTTAAATTCTTTTAATACCCAAGCTCCTTCTATGGATTCCTCAGCAGAAGGTTCTAAGCCCTCGGTCAGAAGCCATCCGTGCTCCTCAGTTACGTATTTCACAAAGCAACCAGTCAAGTTTTGGACAGTTAAGATCATTAGAATTCTTTGTTCCTCCGAATGATTTTTGTCCTTTGGGCTTGGTGAGGCTCTTATAAGCCAAACACAATCATCTAAGTCTTCTATCTAAGGACTCTGCAGTTGGCCACTGTGTCTCCCCCAGACCCTCTTCTCCTGGCAGAGCATGGCATAGTTTAGACTTTCCTCAACATTCTGGTATCCTGCGTTAAAACATAGTTCCTTGCAAAATGTCCATTTAGTTACAAGTCCTTACAGTGCATTATAGCTTAACAATAAGCATGCCCTACTACTCAGGGATAGATAATTGCTGTTGACCGTCTCCTTGCTTACTGGTAATCTCCTACCACTACCAGTATCACCCCTCTCCATCCCACCCCCACCCACCTCACACACTATTTCTAAGTCATCAGGTCCAAAGGGTCCTAACACGGAGTCCTCTCCCAACATTTTCATTGCGGGAGCTCTTTCAAGAGGGGCGCAAGTTGGGTGTTCAGTCAAAGGTAAGGGAGGTCATTTTCTCTGAGTTTGGCAAACAAGTTAAAGGGCAAATGCAGTTAGCCATAGAAGCCCCAGGACCGCGCCTTTGTTCCCACTCCCCAACAGCGCAGAGGCAGAGGACCACCCCCGACCCCGCCCGGCCGGGGGGGGGGGGGGGGGTGGTGCGCGGAGGCGGGGCGGAGCCGGACCCGCGAGTCTGCAGGAGGGCGGGCTCCGCGGTCTCGGCTTAGGGACTGTAGCGACGCCAGGGCTCTGCCACCCGCCGCCTCGCCAGCCGCCCTCACCCCCGTCCCCGCAGAAAGGTGCTCAGAGCAAACCAGAGAGCAAAGAAGCAAGCAAGGGAGTCAGGCAGAAGCCGCTACCAAAGTTCCCAGGTGTTCCTTCCCGGCAGGTGCCTAAGCTCCGCGCTCAACACCATGGACAGCGCCCGCGAAGCGACTCGGGGGCGCTTGGACGCCGCGGGCTTCTGGCAGGTCTGGCAGCGCTTTGACGCGGACGGTAAGTGCAACACGGCACCTGCACATTCAGGTGTATACGTGGCCCCAGCCCGGACCCTCCGAAAGGACCTAGAGTTTCCCCTTCCCGTCTTTCCTCGCAGGGAACGTTGTCTTCTGGCGTTGTTAATGCTTTTATCAAACCAAACAGATGTTAGGTGTCCTGGAGCTTCAGATCTAGAGTTTGGTATTTAAGTTCAGGGGCGAGGGAAGGACTTGGTCCCCCTCCCAATCTGTGTGTGTGTGTCTAAGATGATATGTCATATATCACTACCTATATTCGAGGCTTGTGGCTGGCAGGCAGCTGTCTGAAGTAAGACCTCCCTAAAGGTGCTTTTCAAAGGAAGGGAGGACGAATTTTACCAACTTTCAAAAAGATGCTACCCTCCCCCAAAAACACTTGAAAAGAAAATGGAACCACTTAAAATGTGCTGTATCTTTGGTAATAATTCAACAACCATAAAGAAAATAGCTAAACTGTGTTTTGACTCTGAAAAGTAAGATTTAAGAATTATACCTGTTAAATCTTTCGAAGCTTCCAAATCCTGGGCTTGGATTTTCTTCTAAAACTCATGTTTGTCTGTGGATTCAAATGTATGTATTTAGTTGCTTTCCTTTTCCAAATATTCATTTAAACCCAGCACAGAGCATTTACTCTTGAACGTGTGTTTACGATTCATGTCTCTGAGAGGTTAGAGCCTAGCACGTGAGCACTGAGTTATCGGAAGAGTAAGGAACAGTATCCATGGGGATTTTACAGACTGTGAGATCCAAAACAATTTAGATAAATAGTAAATGTCACATGTCATTCTATGTAAGTGACGATCACATATGCATTTCTTGTTGTATTTAGAAAAAGGTTACATCGACGATGAGGAACTCGATGCTTTCTTTCATCGTGTGCTGATGACGCTGGGTACTGAGGTAAGTACTTGTGCCACGAAGCATTAATTTATGTGCCTTTAGCAAAACAGGAGAGGCATCCAAGTCTCATGTTGATCTGCACCTATTAATCCCATCTGACCTCTTCTCTTCCTGGCTTGCATTAATTTTTCTCCATCTCTTAGCAACATGGAGGGACCGAGGCAGGTTTCATAAAAGGGACAACTGTAGCGTTAGACGTGCTGGCCATTGACTTTCAGTGTAACATCTGTCATCCCCTCGACAGACCTTAACTATAGATTCAAACAACTCTGTTTTGAACGTCTCCTTGGTTATGTTTCTGCTAATGGGTTTCGACATGGAGATAAAGCAGCTCACTTTGCTCAAAAAGGTGGAAGAGATATTAAGAGCTCTGAGGTTCTGAGTGTTTAGTGCATTTGATACTCCTTTCATAGCAGCTTACAAACAAACAGAACATTTAAAATCATTTTCCATTATTCATTTCATTAGAAGAGGTTATAGATTTCTTTGGGAATAACAAACCAGAAAATAAGCAATATACCCAGAGCCCAGGTATAATAAATGGAAACCTATTCTATCGTGCCCATGTCCTTCCCTGTTGGTAAATCTGGCCTCCAGAGATGGAGACTAACTTTTGAGGATCCCCGTAGCAAAGCAAAGACTCCTACAAAGACACCCCAGCCTGGGGATGGGAGAGCCTAGTCAAGACTCCACCTGGATGCCTGGTAAGAGGATTAGCTCTGGAGAGAGTAGCATTTAAAGTGAATTGTGGAAATCACTTATCCTCAGCCAGAGAACTGTTTACACAGAAGAATGAAGTGCCTTGTACTGTCCTGTAGGAGCCCAATGAAGGGAACGAGGCTCTCCGTGCCACCAAGGAGCGCTTCGAGAGGGTGTTTCCGGGTGTGGGCTGGCAGCCAGCTGAGAACAGAAGAGGCTGCCATCTGCCATCTGCCTCTAGCAGACCTTTTCTCTCCCTGTCTCTGTCTCTATGTACACAGATCTCTCTCTCTCTCTCTTTCTGCCTCGACTATTCATTTGATGTCTGCGTGTCTCATTTTTCTGTCCATTTCTGTTTCTTATTTTGATTCCTGGCCCCTATCTTCCATCATCTCTTGACTTTCTCTCTGACCCTTCTGTCTCTCATCTGTCTGTTTTATAGGTCTCTCCAAGTTTCCTTGTTTCTCCTTCTATCTGCAGTCCGTCTCTCAAAGCTCTCTTGTCCCTCTTTTCCTTGTCTTTTCTTTTCCTTTCTCTTTCTTACCTATCTCATCTCTTTTTTGCCCCTCATTTCTTGTCTTTTATCAGTTTCTTTTCTTTTCTCCTTCTTTCCCTTAACACTCTCTGTCTCTGTCTTCTAGTCTCTCTGTCTCTGCCTTGCTCTTCCTTATTGCTATAAATGCTAGGGCTCATGGCACTCCAGAACCCATGAGTCAGATCTCTTTAGTCAAGCATGACAGGTGTATTTAAGGAAAACAAATAGATGAAGGCAGAACTATTTGAAGTCTTGGGATAAACTGGATGTCCAAAACCCCAAACTCCCAGAGACTTAGAACTTCACACCTTTCCAGAAGTTCTTTGTCTTAGTGATTTATAGGAAAGAGGGAGAAAAGCTGTTGTCAGTGTGGAAGCTGGGAGTGTCTTATTTTCAGTTGTAAGTGGGGGTGGAGCTGGTAAGATACAAGGGTCTGCTCTGAGCCAAGGGCATCTTCTTCTGGGGCTTTGGCTAACGTTAGCGGCATTGTTGCCATTAGTGATGGAGCAGAGAGGTGCCTCACTTGCTGCTGGGCAGTCCATCTCTCCCCTCCCTCAGAGCCAGCCTGGGGACTTGCCCTTTCACACAGAGGCGGGCATGGTCCTTGAGGGAGAGGAGACAACAAATGACTCACCAGTGTCCTGTGCCCCTGTGTGTCCTATCCCCGAGGAATTTCAGTACCTTTGGGGTTTGCCTAGGATCTTGCATTTTTAAATCACTGTATGTCAGTTGGTATCTCTCTCACCTTCTGTCCATCCAGGAACAGTGACTGCCCATCATGGGGGATAGTGGGAGGGTTCTAACAGAATCGGGCCAGTCTCACTGGGCTTAGACAGCAGACCCAACCACCCCTTCTCGGTACATGGCTGGGGAGAGAGCTTTCAAAGCCAGATCATTTGTATAAGCCATTGTCCAAAAATGTCATCACCTGCCATTATTCTGTTTCAAAATGTTGATACCTGGCCCTGGGGGAGTGGGGTTCTAGGAGCCTGTGCTGGGCCCTCCATGCTCCCAGAACAATCACAATTAAAAGTATTCCTGATTCCTGATTCTGGGTTTTTTCCCTGCAGAGAATGGAGTAGGCTCTAAGCATGTCCTTAATCAGAGAGCAGGACTTCCAAGTGGACGTCCATCAAGCTGAGTGACAGTCCCCATCCCTGCTTCTAACCAGGGATGCCCCAGCGAGTAGAGAAGCCACCGCAGGGAGGCCTCCAGGATTGGGCCTGGGGTTTAGGAGGAGCGAGCAGTTCTTCAGAGGCCTGAAGAGCTCTCCTTTCCTCCCTGATTAGCAGGTCACAGAGGCCTCGGAGAAAGGAATTTCAGGGTTGCCAACAGCGACCTGCTGGTCAACCTTGGAGAGCAACCAACCTGTGTGTGATTCCCTGCTTCTCGGGGCCTCTGCGGGGCCAGACTTCATGGAACCATGAGCCATTCATGCTGCGGCTCCCGTTCCTCACCCCTCCCTTAGCTCCTACCTTTTCTTTTCAAATGCTCAGAACTGGCCTCTGAACTAGTCTGGAGAGAGCGAGTACAGAGCAGAGCCTCACTTCCTGGGGCTATGTCCATATCTTTCCTGTCAGAGTCTAGCACAGCCCGGGCCTCCTTCCATGCTTCAGAGACGACGGGGTCTAGAGTCTTACGGAAGGGGGGGCAGGGTGGTGCAGATGGGAAACACAACAGAGGCAGTCCCTCGGCTCTGTTGCTTTAGGTCCAAGGGATGGCCATGGGCTTTGGGGTTACGGGATGAAAGTCAAGGTTCTGTGGCTTCAAGCTAAGGTAGCACTAGACTCTGGCCTCAACTTATTTGGCTTAACATTTATTAATTGTGAAACTTAATTTTCCACCCCCATGGCTTATGTCCACTAAGGTACTTTGGGAAGGCCCAGCCCACCATAAAGAACCATGTATTCATTCCATTGTATCTCAGAGACACAGAAGTGATGGCTGTCCTGCAGATATCCTAATCTAGAAAGCCAACCTGAAATCAAAGTGAAGACCCACCTTGTGGAGGGACCTCCGTCACGTTTTCTTTCTGTATGGTGCACCTACACAACCCACACACCCACACCCACACACAGGATCCGAGGAGCCAAGACTAGAAACGCCAATCTCTCCATATGTAGTGCGGTGTCTCAGGAGGAAGCCTGGCTGGCAGGGGTCGTGGGGGATCGGATTAGGGACAGTATCAGGGAGGCTGAATTTAGCGGCCGCTGCAGTCTGGAGTCCTGGGATCTGGCACTGGGGGGGATGTTTCTACCTCTCAGTTCCTTCATCAGAATTCATTCTCCATTCTCTCCATTCCTTGGTAATTCAATAACTACTTTCTTACTTTTTTCTCCTTCTAATTATTTTTTCCTCGGCGGGCTCAAGGAGAAGATGAAGGGAGGAGTGACAGCAAACTTGCGATCTAAAAGAGCTGGGCTTTTCCCTTAGAAACAGAACAAAATCTCTGATCTCTTGGAGGGAGAACTTGGGAGTCCTGCGAATGAACTTAATGGAGGTGTTGTCTGTAGACAAGCTGATGGGATCAGGCTATGTCATTCCGAAGCCCCTTAAAACCTAGTCTCTCGGCTTCTCTTCCTTCATTCATGTTTTAGGAGCTCACTAGCCTGTAGGTCTCACCTGCTTGGGATTCTGATCAGCGGTGCTTTGCTCAAGAACTCTCCACCACTGTTCTCCCTTGTTCGACAGGGTAGGCTCATTTTAAATGGCTAAGTAACCTGCTTTCCGGGTTAGACTAACGTAATGACCAGGCTCTATGCTCTGAATATTTGATATCCCGACTACATTTTTGGAATCTCCATGGGTTTTGTTTTTTTTTTAAGATTTTACTTATTTATTTGACAGACAGAGATCACAAGTAGGCAGAGAGGCAGAGAGAGAGGGGGAAGCAGGCTCCCCGTTGAGCAGAGAGCCCGATGCGGGGCTCGATCCCATGACCCTGAGATCATGACCTGAGCCGAAGGCAGAGGCTTAACCCACTGAGCCACCCAGGTGCCCCTCCCCATGGGTTTAATGAGGCTCTGTCTGGCCTATTGTAGGAGGCAGGCGTGGAAGAAAATGTGCAGAGAATGAAGCAACAGTTCATGGGTCTGCAGGGTGTCTCCAGAGATGGGCGCGTGCTGATGAAAGAGGTACCTTTCCCAACTGTCCTTTTCTCCACTGAGCCTTTTCGGGCTGTCATTTTCCTCCCAAAGATAATACAAATCTTATATCTGAATGGGAAGCTAGAACTGTCTGCCAGGCTGCTGGCCTACCCAGCATTTTGAAGTAATCTCCTCTCCTTTTCCATTTTCTTAGCAACCCGTATCATTTTCTTTAGGTCAAGCAATATCTGTAGTTATTGTAACTGGGGAGTTCATATGCTGGAGGTCTTGCAGTTACTCGATCCAATGGGTCCCTTTGCTGTGTGCTGCTCAGATCCAGCCCGGGCATAAGGAAAAACTGACTAACAAGAAATGAGTTGAAACTCCTGCATCAGCTCCCAGTGGAGGTTGGGGAGATCTAACCCTGGAGATCATTCGAAACAAAATGGACAGCAGCCGTCTCTCTTCAGCCCAGCCCACATAGTACCTTTCTTTTCAAAAAATTATGATACTAGGGCAAGATAATTGTATCCTTACGAAAAGTAGACATGTTTGCCAGGAAGGAAGCAGCCTTCTCAGAACCCTAGCATTTCCAAAATTTTCACTCCAAGGCAAAAATTTTTCATGTCACCAGCGATGGTAGATAATTGATGCAAGTAAACGCAAGCCTCAAGCTAGAAATAGCGAAGGACTCATGACCGCGTGTTCACTGCTGCATTCTCCAGCCCCCAGAGCACAGCGGAACATTAGCGGTGCCCAGTATATGTGTGTGGGCTTAAGGGAGAAAAAACGAAACACGGGAAATGGCTGAAAACGACGGTGTTATCTCACTAACAACAGGCAGAGCTTCACGAAGCACTTGGAAACCCGGCAACAACTTGGACTCCCGTGCCAACCATCCTGTCATGGAGACCCACAGATGCACAGCGGAGGTGTTGTCTGTAGATAAGCTGATGGGATCTGGTGACACCCGTCCCAGGCCCCTTAAAACCTCTGGAGTCTGTGAGCTTACGGAGTAGCAAGTCTCCCCCCACCTCCTCCTGCTGTACCATGGCCTATCTCACTCTAGTCACAGGTCGCTGAGACCTGAAAATCAGCCCACCCGGACACATATTAGATATTCTAGCACAACTAAGGTGGGGCAGACTTCACCACGGACAGCCCAAGCTAGGCTGGGGGATTATCTGTGCATCTGATTTGCCCCGGGCTCCTCTGTGCCCCTCCAATCAAAGCTGAAGACAGACTGTGTTTTAAAGGCTGGGGACCTGTGAATCACGTTTTCATTTGGTTTCTTGGCTTGTCCTACCCCATGGGAAAAAGCACGTAGTTCTGAAGAGGATGCTGATTCCAGTGGACCTTGGAGCCCAGACAGGTGTGGCAGGGGGTGGCAGGATGTGGGGGATGGGGCTGGGGCAGTGCCAAGTCCACGCGGTGAATGTGAGACCTTGGCCAAGTTAATTCTCCCCGAGCCTCTGGTTCATGGTCTTCATCAACACGGCATTAGCATTTATTGAAGGAATTTTGCCTATAAGTAGTGCCTCATTTTACTTTTAGCCTTCACATAAGCATCAGGATATAAATATTATTATCCCCATTTTACCAGTGAGGAAATCGAGGCACAGAGGGATCAATTAACTTGTGCTAGACCAAATAAAAGGTGAACAATGGAGAAGGAATTAGGATCCACTCTAAAGCCTGTCACAGACACACACTGTGCTGTCCTGCTCCCATGAGTAAAAGGGGGTATCATACCAGTAGGACTGGTATGAGACTTTAAAGATTTTTTTTTTTTTAATTTATTTGACAGACAGAGTTCACAAGTAGGCAGAGAGGCAGGCAGAGAGAGAGAGAGGGAAGCAGGCTCCCTGCTGAGCAGAGAGCCCGACGCGGGACTCGATCCCAGGAACCTGAGATCATGACCTGAGCCAGCGGCTTAACCCACTGAGCCACCCAGGCGCCCCTGGTATGAGACTTTAATGGAGCATAAATGAAAAGTATGTCGCCAGTGCCTGCCGTGTCATAGCTACTCGATACATGATATAAAAATATGATTGCTGTCGTTCACACGGTAGGTCCTTGAGCAGACCCACATCCAGCTAGAGGAGTGAACAGGCGTGTGGGCTCAACACACCTCCCCACCCCCAACAGCCTCTGTGTGGACTCACTGTGGCATTGAGCATGGAGACAGAAGGAGTGGCTACTGTTTCTGGGGGACAACGCAAGCCAGGAACACGGCAGTACCGTAGGATGGGATGAGCCCAGCCAAACACAGCCATGCGCTGAAGTAAGAATTATAGTCATGCATCATGGGAAGAAAATGTCACTGTTACTCATGAGAGAAGTGACCTAAATCAGTAGAACTGGTGCTCAGATAGGAGGAGGGACGACGTAATGGCTCACACCCAGACCACCTCTGGGAACTGATAATGTAGAAGAAGTAAAACAGCCGACACTCAGGACACCGACGGCTGTCACTCCTGTCTGTGCCCATGGTGTGAAGAGACCGCGTGTACGCCATCTCCCCAGCACGGCATGAAGCTGGAAAGGATGGCCCTAGTCCCGGTGCGATCACTTGCCACATAACCAACGCAAGTTCTAGTTTCCTTTTTTTTTTTTTTTTTAAAGATTTTATTAATTTATTTGACAGAGAGAGAGAGAGAACACAAGCAGGCAGAGAGGCAGGCAGAGAGAGAGGGGGAAGCAGGCTCCCTGCCGAGCAGAAAGCTCGATGCGGGGCTCGATCCCAGGACCCTGAGATCACACACGACCTGAGCCAAAGGCAGAAACTCAATCCACTGAACCACCCAGGCGCCCAAGTTCCAGTTTCTTTGACGAAAAAATGAGAATGGGAGTGTGTTGCGTACTTTCTGGGTTGGGGCTAGGATGGAGTGAGTAAGCATATGTAAGAATTTAGAACAGATCGTGGCACATATAGGAATTATTCGCTCTTTTAATTTCCCATTATAAAATAGAGTTAAATTATTTTAATATGGGAGAGTCTTAAAATAGTGTCTGGAGCATATTAAGCATTGACAAATTTATTATTACTATTAGGATTATGGGGCGCCTGGCTGGCTCAGTTGGTACAGCATCTGCCTTCGGCTCAGGTCATGACACAAGGTCCCTAGGATGGAGTCCTGCATCGGGCTCCCTGCTCAGTGGGGAGCCTGCTTCTCCTTCTCACTCTCCTTCTGTGCTATCTCAAATAAATAAAACTCTTAAAAAAATAAAATAAAATTAGGATTATGATTTTGGATCATAAGCTCGTGGGAGGCAGACTCCTGCCATGTTTCCTACCTAGTAACAGAGCAATGTTTGAAAGCATCAGGGAATCCAAAACTGCAGTCAGGGGCCCAGAACTGTAATCGGAGCTCTCGGTCCTGGGAAATCCAAGCCCTCTTCCCCTTGTAGTATGTCCCACTGTGTCTTTTACCCAGGGAGCACTGGTCGGTGTGGCTGATTGCTGTTTCTCTCTGCTTCTTCAGCTTGCCAACATGTTCTTGTCTGAAGATGAAAACTTCCTGCTGCTCTTTCGTCAGGAAAACCCCTTGGACAGCAGTGTGGAGTTTATGCAGGTAAGTGTTTGGCTGTGTCTCTACAGAGGATGAGGACTGAGAAAAGCCCAGGATCCCAGCCACCCACGAGGGAGGCCAGCAATCCTGTCCAGTCCCCAAACCCTCAGAGGGTAAGACCAAGCAAAGAAGCCCTTGGTGATGAGCCAGAACTTGGGTCCCAAACCCCCGTGCGCTCTGGGCGCTGCCTTAGGCTGCTCCCAAGCCAACAGAGTCCTTCAGCCTGAGCTGGAGGAGGCCCAGACAACAGGCAGGCAGGCCAACATGGAGGAATATGACAGGGGTCGGCTGGGAACTCCAGAGCCCAGAGAGCAGGTGTCCCATTCAAAGCAGAGAACCCCGGGGAGCTCCAGAGGATTGCTGGCTTCTAAGCATGCTGTCTGGACATCTAGCCTACTTGTTTTTATATGTTGGCCACTAATTCTAGTTTCAAAGGTATAATACCATGAAAACGTAACTCCCTAGAGTGCCCATCCAGCCAGCAGACTTTCTGTTTGCAGTCGCTGTGCTGGAGAGAACGCTGAAGGCTGTCAGTGCCTCCTCTTAGCTCCTCTTTCAACCTCCGGATGTTATTATCCTTTGGACAAAGACCAGGAAATTCAGAGCAGACTCAAGACAGCTACTGCATCCCAGGTGGTTCCTGAAACAGTTACCAAGACCCCATTTAGGAGATAATAGCTTAGCACCCTTTTACACGACTGTAGTTACTTCCGGCCAAGTGGAAGTCATAAAATTGAGCAAGCACGTGCATAGACTATTCACGGGAGAGATCTGAATGGGCAATAAAGGTGGGCTGGTAGACAAGAAGTGCCAATTTATAACAACTGATTTTTGCCAATCCAAGTGGTAAAGATTTTAAGAGGATCAACAAAATACATGGTGCCAGCCAGGAAGCCCTGAGATTGATGCTCATGATCTGTTGGTAGGCATGCACACTGCAACAATTTTATGGAGAGTGATTTCACAAAAAATATAATCAGGATCCTTTAAAATGTCATTATTCAAAGTTAAAAATATCTTTACCCTTGGACTTAATAAGTCTACTGCTCCAGGCATCTATCTTAAGTTATAATCAGAAATGTTTGTAATTGGAGGAAATGTGTTATATTGTTAAGAAGCAAAACTGTGCATACATTATGATCTTAACATTATTTAAAAAATGGTTCACCCTAACACCTACGTAAATTAAACTGTAGGTAGATAAACATAAGATAAACGCTAATTGCTTTTAAGTGGTAAGATTTCAGATGGTTTTCATATTCTTTGTACTTTTATATTTTCCAACTGTGCACAGATCATAATTATTTACAAATCACTTTAAGTGACATTTTCACAATGATTTTAATGGTGCTCAAAAATGCTCTCAGAAAGTTTTAAATGAAAATAATAAACAGATTGCCCAAGTGTATAGACAATATGACCTCCAAGTTAGTCTTGTCGTGTGTGTAATAGAAATACGAGGAAAGGAAACACAAAGATATACCTGCAGAGTGTAGTTTTCTCCTTTTCGTAGCTCATTAATTTTGTACAGTGAATATGATTTACTCTTATAATCAGAAACACAGTATTAAAATGTTAGGCCTTGCAAAATACTGAATAACTCTGAGGAATGGGAAAAAGCAAAGAGCACTATGGAGCTTTCCTATCTTTTTGCTTTTTTTTTTTTTAACTTATTCCATTTACCCCCTCCCTTTAAGTTGGTCAGTGGCTTCCATAACAGAGAGCCTTCCCTTTCTCTACCCAATTAAAAAAATATACATATCTCTTCAGATTCCTGATTTCTTTTCTTTAAGTTATATTTGTTATAACCTATTATTATCCTATATATTTTTAAAAATTCTAAGTTAATGCCTTTATGTTCCCCCTAGGCCACCGGACCTTAGAACACTTTAATCCTAATATAGGGTGCCCAGCTCATGTGCAGGATATGAGTTCTGTCTTATTTTCTTTAACCCTGCAAATTTAATGCAGTCAAGATTTGTTACCCATCATCTTTGTGAACCATTGCTTTTTGTGACTAAGAGTCTCTTTATTTTCCTCCTTCCTAGAGTTTATCCTTTACTAAATTCTATTGGTAAAACTTTATTTGCCTGGAAATCTCTTATTTTGCTTTCATTCTTTAAAAATAGGCAAGGGGGACCCGGGTGGCTCAGTCATTAAGCATCAGCTTTCAGCTCAGGTCATGATCCCAGGGTCCTGGGTTCAAGCCCTGCTTCGGGCTCCCTGCTCAGCAGGAAGCCTGCTTCTCCCTCTTCCACTCTCCCTGCTTGAGTGCCCTCTCTCTCCTGTGTCTCTCTCTAATAGATAAAATCTTTTAAAAAAAATTAAAAATAAATAATAAATAATAAAAAACAAACAAATAAATAAATAAATAATAAAAAAGATAGATAGATAGGTGAGCACATTATTCACATAGAAATCTTTGGGTCTCCAATGGCTGGCTCAGTTGTAGTAAATTATAAGATAATGTAGACAGAAAATTTTTGGAGAATAGCACGAGAAAAGAAAAGCATGGAAAATGGTTTGATTTATTATTTAAAATTCTCATTCTTAGCTTTGGTATATTCACACCATAAAAGTTTGAATGTAATTTATATTTCATTTGTTGACTTTGTAAGTCTGGCTGAGTTCAGGGGCCATAGGGCATGTAGTTTCTCAGTCTTCTCATGGCCCATCAGTACCCCCACTAGCCCTGCAGGGTGCTCAGGCTAACTGGGGTCTAGAATTAAGGTCCCTGCAGTGAGTGAGTCAGCTAACCCATTCTATACCTACAGACGATCTGTCAGTTAAAAAAAGAAAAGAACTTAGGGGCGCTTGGGGGGCTCAGTCAGTTAAGCATCTGCCTTTGGCTCAGGTCATGATCCCGGGGTCCTGGGATCGAACCCTACATCGGGCTCCCTGCTCAGCGTGGAGCCTGCTTCTCCCTCTCCCTCTGCTGCTCCCCCTGCTTGTGCTCTCTCTCTCTCTCTCTCTTTTTCTCTGGGTCTTGCTCTCTGTCAAATAAAAAGTTAATTAATTAAAAACAAAACCAAAAAACAGTGTTACTTCTTCTGTTCCTTTCCTTTTCTTCTTTTTCATGTAGGCTCTATACCCAGCCTGGAACCCCAAGCAGGGCTTGAGCTCATAACCCTGAGATCAAGACCTGAGCTGAGACCAAAAGTCAGGTGCTTACCCGGCTGAGCCACCCAGACACCCCTACTTTCTGATTCTGTACAAGAGTTTGAGAAATAGCCAACCTGTGAGGCTTAAGCATAGGATAATCCGAGGTGATCCAAATCACACCGCTTATGAGAGAAAGCAGTTCAGCGTGCCTACAGAAGTGTTCAGTTGTTCAGTTTTGTGAGCGTATCTTCAGCCAGATGCAGGCTGCCCTTATACCCTAAAGCCAAGGAGAGGCTTGTCACATCACTGGGAACTACCTGAGATGTTTTCGTCCCTTTATCCAGAGCCAAGGCCACACAGGGAGGACCCCTGAGGGCCTGCGGGCAGCACAGTCTATTTTGAAGGGGTTCACCCTTTCACTAAGGGTTATAATTTGATGCAGGTGCCTCCATTTGACGCCCCCCAACTTTGCATGGGCTCCGGGCTTTGCCTCCTGCCGGCTTTGTGTGCAATTTCCTGATAAAGCTGCAGGCTACGTTCTCTGCGTCAGCACACGGACCCGGGACAAATGTGGGCATCAGTCCTCCGTGACCTCTCTGGCTGTGTGCTTGTTTACATGGCCGCTGGGCTCATAAACAGATGCCTGGCTTTTGTGTATTTCAGATTTGGCGCAAATATGACGCTGACAGCAGTGGGTTTATATCAGCGGCTGAGCTGCGTGTAAGTGTCACGGGGCGGGTCTCTCACTGGGGGGCGGGGTGCCGGTTTGCCACTGGGAATTGGATGCACGTGGATCATGAATTTCATTTCTGTGAGCCCAAGCAACTTGGATTTGAATGTGTGACTTTAAAAAACAGTATTTGTGTTTAAAAGCTTTAGAAAGTACAAGTGATACCGATTTCTCTAGGAAAGATGCATCATTGAGGAGTTTTGACACTTTTTCCATGCCTGGAGCTATTCTCTGGGTTCTATGAACATCCTTTAAACGGGACATCCCTCCCCATTCTTGGATTTATTGCTTGCTAAAAACATTTTATTTTCTCCATTAAAAAAAAAAAATGAACCACAATCCTTGATGTAAGTCCTCCTGAGATCTTGGAGGTTTATCTGCTCTCCGTTTAAGATGTGGCTCTTCTCTTGATGTCACAGAACTTCCTCCGAGACCTCTTCCTCCACCACAAAAAGGCCATTTCTGAGGCTAAGCTGGAAGAATATACTGGCACCATGGTAAGTAACTGAGCGATGGGATCTCCACAAGGGGGTTAACCACCCCTCTGCCCCCCGCTTCCCCAGGGCTCAGAAGCAGAGGCGCAGAGTAAGTGCCCCAGTGAGCATGTGTGGACCAAGTGAATGCAAGAGGAAATGTCAACTCTCCAAAATGGGCTAACATTGAGCCTCGTTAGCCCCTCTCTGAGGTTGGGGCTGCATGTACTGGAGATGGAAAGCAGTTCACCTGTCCTTGGGGAGACCAGGGAAGTACAGTCAACATTGGGTTACTAGGCACCGGGCCAATGAGCTCAATCCTACCAGAAGCCACATGGAAACGGGTAAACATGGACAATCAGAAACCTAGACAACTAGGACCAAACACATGGAAGCCACTTAGAGAGCTGAGAGTCAGCTGGGCAGGAAAGGTGTGTCCCTGTTCTGCCACGTCTTAGCTATGACCTTAGGAGACTGTCAAGCCTCTCCTTTTACTTACTTCATCCATAAAATGGGGGGTTAATAGGACTGAATTACTGTGAGGGCAATCGAAGTACTGGGCAGGTGTCTGGGTCATGAGACGTGTTAACTCTCATTTTCAGGCTTACTATGGTCCTTGTTGTCGTTACTTTACTTGTCCCTTGTGGCATTCACATGCTGAATGACCGAGATTATTTCAGTGTCAAAACTCCCTGGGAAATGGTGGTTTGGGAGCAGCTGCTTGTGGTAGTCCCCTCCTCACCTTCCGTTCCGGCTCGTTCCCCGCGCATCCCCCCCACCATGCATCAGCAGCCTGGCTCCCCTGCCTTCCATTTCCTCTGAGCCCCCTCCCGGCCCCAGACGCGTGCTCCTTTCCAATCGAACTCCGTAGGTGGTTTCTCAGTCAATAAGAAGGAGATGGCTGGTGAAGGCTTGACTGCTTGTAGGATTGTTACATCTATCACATGAGGCGTTCTTGACCAGATTGATGTTACTCAAATTCCTGGAGCCCAGTCGGGAACATGCACCACCGGGAAGAGGTCGTGAATTCCCATAAAATGGGTGCCACTTAAGTGATGTTTCCAAATAGGGTGCTATTTCTGTGACTTCTCCGCAGGGTTGGCATTGTTCATGCTATATATCTTATCCTGAAGCCTTAGAAAGGGTAAGTGACAGTCACCACCTTGTTGAATTCTTTTTTTTTTTTTAAGATTTTATTTATTTACTTGAGAGACAGAGAGAGAGAACAGTCGGGGAGAGGGACAGAGGCAGGAGAGGGAGAAGCAGACTTCCTGCTGAGCAGGGAGCCCGAGCTGGGGGCTCGATCCCAGGTCTCTGGGATCATGACCTTAACCAAAGGTAGACGTGCTTAACCAGCCGAGCCACCCTGGCGCCCCACCATGTCGAATTCTCAAATGCACTTCCCAGATCAGGTAACTGGGAGAAGTTAAGTTACTGGGCCAGAGGCCCCAGTTATACTGGAAGCCAAGCCCCCTTGGTTTTCAGCCCGGCCCCTCCTGCCACTCACTCTGCACTCTAAGTCCCCAAATGCTGCCCCAGTCACAGGCGCCTGCCCTGGGTGGGAGGAAGGTGCTTTTACCCTTGAAGACTTGTAAATGACCCAGAAAGAGGCTAAGCCCATTCCAAGGACAGAAGCCAGCCCCAGGCCAGGATCGCAATGAAGGACATAATCTGGTGTCTTGCTCTGTTGATCTGTTTTGAGAACAGGCAGCGGGGTGCTTGAGATCCCAAGTACATATATAGTCAGCACTGCAGGGTGACGTGGGAAGTCCCCTCGAAGCAGGAAGCAGTTTCCCAGTACAGGGAGATCTCTGGGTTTCTTTCCACCCGATTTCCAGTGAAACCGCCAGCAGAATAAGGACTATGAAAGGAGCGATGTCACTGTAACTGCCTGGGACAGAGAAAGACAAGCAGATCCCGTTTCCAGCTGAGCACTTTTCCAGGCTTAGGTTCACACCACGTCAGCACTGACTGTTGTTACCTCGATGTCATTCACTTACAAAGCATGCGCCGCACAATGCAATACTCTCACTCAGGATCTCCAGCCCGTCTAGTATTTGTTTGGTTACCTTTGATTCTGAGGGCCTTCCCTCAGGCTCCAAGTGTAATGCTAAACCACCTCTTTTTTTTTTTTTTTTAAAGATGTATATATTTATTTGTTTGACAGGGAGAGAGAGAGAGAGAGAGAGCACAAGCAGGGTGAGGGGAAGAGGGAAAGAGAAGCTGACTTCTTGCTGAGCAAGGAGCCCCATGCGGGACTTGATCCCGAGACCCTGGGATCATGACCGAGCTGAAGGCAGATGCTTAACCGGCTGAGCCATCCATGTGCCCCTTTTTCTCACTTCTTAACATGGCTCAACTATTTTTTCCCTCTCTTTCTTCTCCTGGTTCTTGCCTGTCCTTCAAGATTCGGTGAGACATCACCTTGCCTTAGAAAACCTTCCAGAACCTTCTTCTGTAGTCGACAAAGTGCCTCTCTTCTGTGCACCCAGACTTCCTTGTACCTATCACTGAGTTCCCCTCACAGTCATCTGTTCGACCCATCCCACAACTACCCACTATCTGCTATGCTCCAGGCACCCCTTTGGTGGCCGGGGACCCAGCAGTGAGCAAAACAGACAAAGGGGAGACTGACAATAACCAGAAACATAATAAATAATAAATTAGATTGCATGACAGAGGGTAACAAGTATTACGGAAAAATGAAAACGTAGAGCAGAGCGAAGGCTAGCCACGGCAGCAAAGCAGCGAGGACAAGGGCCTGGGGAGGAGAGGAGGCTGCGGAAGGACCTCGAGTGCAGCAGGCACGGAGCCCCTGGGATAGCAGTGCGCCTGGGATCTTCAAGGACTGGAAGACTGCAGCGGGGCTGGGGCAGAGTGAGCGTGGGTGAGAAAACAGAGGCCAGACCCTGTGGGGCTTCTTAGGATTCAGCAGGATTCCTGACGAGTCAGCTGGGGTCAAGGACAACGCTGACACATTACTTGTTTACGGATCTTGTTCTTTACCAGCTGGTGACTCTTCCCGCGCAAGGACAGCATCGCATCTCCTCGCATCTCTGCGTTCCCTACCCTCCCTCGGGGCCAGGCACACATAGGCTACTTAATGCCAACTGTCAGAACTGAATTTGTATGCTAACTAATAGCCAGCTAAGATAAGAAGCCATGATGACAAAAGCAAAGTTTGCCCTTGGGACCTCCCACCTCCCTTGCCTGTGTTCCTTGAGCCCTTCCACCCCCATGACGGCTCCTGCTCCCCCTTGGGGTGCCTCATAAGTCATGGATTGCGCAGGTCCAAGCACCCTCAAGCTGTGCTTGGTGCCCTGAAATTCTTTTTTTCCCTCTTTTTAAACCAAACCCTCCAGGCAGAGCCAGAAGGAGTGCTTGGAAGTGCCGAGCTTGATCCTTTATGGCTCCCACTGGGGTCCTTCACCCCGTGTAGACAGTCATCCGGACTGGGTCCCCACCAGGCAGGGTCTGAGCGGTGCTGAGCCCAGGGGCAGACCTAGACAGGGTGGCTGGAGCCCCACGCTGATGACCAGAGGGACGAGGGGCAGGAAACCAGGTACCAGGAGTGGGGATGAGAGCCAGAGGATGTGGAAGAGGCAGAACAGAACAAATATGAAGAGACAATCCCAGCAGGACAGGCCTGTGACATGTCTCTGTGGATTCAGAATTCATATCACTATGTTCCTGAAGTTGAGTCAGACGTGCTTTAGTAGGCTAAGGAGTAGGTTCTCAAAGTGACCCAGCATGTCTTCCCGCACCCAAACCCTCACTCCCTTCATGCTTTTTTCTTCCAGGTCCGACTACGAGCTAGTAAACTAGTTCAAAGATGTAAGTTCATTCATTCAACAAATATTTAGGGAGAACTCACCAAGGCAGATATGGTCCCTGACCGTATGGAGTCTTCCAGTTAGGGACAATTTGGTAAAGGAGGGAAAAAGCAAAAATTCACTCTGGTCGCTCCTGTTCATCCCCACTGTGCTGGTCATTGTCATAGACCATCCACCAAGTTGAGTTCAGTTTTGCCTTCGGTCCCTAAATACAGCGATCTCATCTTGAGATCCAGTTTGTCTGGCTTTTCAAAAATCAGGCAGATCACAAGGAAGCCTCTGCAAAGGCAGGACGAGAGAAGGTAGGTAGATGGACAGAGTCCAAATTGCGTTGTTTCAAGATGCCTTCTCCACTGAGGACACGTGATGTTTTCACGGCAACACAACTAGCCTTTATTCCAGTCCTGAGTACTTGACTCGTAATCATTGTGCAAAGCACTTTTCAAACATTGCATTTGATTCTCTCAACAACCTCATAAAAATAAGGGTTTTTTTTAGCCCTCATTCTATAAATGAAAGAAACTGAGAATTGCAGACTTTCACGGGTCAAATGTAATAAGGATGGAGTGGAAATGCATACCCAAATCTATCTCCAAAGCTTGCCTTTTCCACCACAATACTCATGTCTGAGAGCTGAAATACTGAGTCATTAGAAAGAAAACTTCCAAACGGGAAGAGTAAAGCTCTGCTGAGAGATCAAGAAGTGATGACGATCCCCGGAAGAGAGTGAAGAGCCAGGCGAGGACAGGCTGTGTTGGGGACGTCAGATTCTCATGATGTTTTTCAGGAGGAGATGATACCAGAGCTCAAGCTCTCAAGCCGCACCAGAATTTATTACCTAAGAAAGTGGATTGTTCATGAATCATCCTAAGAACTGACATCTTACTCAACACAAAATAGGAAACATGGAAGACAACAGGGAAGGAGAAAGGATTCTACAACATCACCTGGGGAGGAGAAGGACCTGGGAAGAAAAGATAACTTTTTGCCTGTAGAGAGCCCCCCGGGGGGGCATCTCATTCAAACAGCCCATCAGAAGGGACAGGAAGGGGTGTCAAGGAGACATTGGGCTGCTTACAAAGACAACACTCAGCAGGAAAGAATCCACACATCACCCCTCAGCCTGGCAACCCTAGTCGCCCAGAGCACTTCTCTTTGAAGCCTTTAGGTTTCAATCTTGAAAAACCCCAGGCTGGCAGCACTTTCCATGGGGATGGCCTGGGCTGAAGAAGATCTGGCAACGTACAATTTTTGATGGCTCTCAGCTCAGATCTGGAAGCCTAGAATCCTGTGAAGTAGCTGAGGGGGATCCAGTGGTCTCACCCAGCTTTAGAGTATCTGCGTTGAGAACCATCCATGGACCAAGACTGTCCTGTTATTCTTTGTCTATTTCATTGTCAAAACCTGTGGTTCTTCTGCTTCTGTGGCTGCCCATAAGCACTCATTTTTTTCTGAACTGTCGTGTGGGGATAGGCTAGCGACCAATCAAATCCAAGTGGCCCCTCACAGGTTCTTTACGCCTTGAGGTGATCAGCGAGTGTTGAGGAATCCAGCCAGTAAGGGAGTTTCCACCCTGAGACCTAGTCTAACCAGAAGATGAGATGACTTTAATGAGGTTATGGCTGATCTATTTCAGTTGACTTCCTTAAATTCAGAGGCGGCTTATATATACTTTTCCAGAGAACATATTTGGGACCTGGACTATAGTTTGTTTGTTTTTCAAAGACTTTTTACATTTCCCTAGCGACCTGTGGGTGAATGAACTTTCAGAAACTCAATATTCTCCAAAGAGATTTTAGAACCTTAGTCTAACTAAGTGATACACCAAGTGTGAAATCTGCTGCTGCTTTAATGGTTTTTTTTGAGCAATGGGCACAGTGAGGTCAACACTGCATTACAGATCTGGTTCAAAGGTTTGGCATCAAACGCTTTATTTCAGAAATGTAGCTGCTAAATAAATTTCAAATAGACCCAGAGGACTGGCATGTTTGAAAGTGGTCTGCAGCCTGAACAATGAACGAGTCACAGCAGAGCTCCCAGTCCTAAGCACAAAGTCGAGGTCTGCAGACCTGACGTTCTCCTAACTCCTGATTAATGTTTTGGACAAGGAAGGAAACAGCCTATGAACAAAATCCAATTATGACATCTAATTGAGAGTACCTGGGAGTGGGGTGGGGGGAGGATTAGCTGTCCGAATAGAATATTATCAGGTAGTATTGAACTTTTAAAAATGTAAGCTAATGCATGTGGGGAGATGTTAAGTTCACACACCTAATTAGAGCATGGAACTTGAACTCTTGTAAATGTGCAAATTAAAATCTGAGACCATGGCAGACAGAGAGACATGTGAGGTTAAGCTTGTCCTATCCTCTCCACTGGTCACAGTCCTTGGCGTTCAGGCCTGGATGGAAGTTGCTGGCTTGTGGCTTTCTTCCATAGACGGAGGCACTCAACTCTTGGATCCAGGCTGATGGGAAACATGCCTGGGCTCCGTGTCGAGAGCTCTTCCCTCCCGTGCTGGTGACCTCACCGGCCTCATGACTTGATATACCAGCTAATGGTGATGACCCTCAATTCACAGCTCTGACTCTGGCCACTTCACTGAACTTCTTAAGTGAACTGTGTAGCCCATTTTCTGATGGGCAGAGGCATGATTTACCACATTGGTGCTCAGTTCTTCCTCATGCCAATTTTGAGCAAAGGGCATTTTCCCCTTTGAGTAGTCTGCACAGCAGTGGAGATGGGCCTACATCTTTCGAGATGAGTTACTACTTGCTTAAAGCTCAAGATCATCTAGCTCTCTATTAAAATAGGACCTTTTATAATGATGGTGTCATGGGAAATAACTCATGGTTCAGTCTCCCGCAAAGCGTGCTGCTCTCAGATTTTTACTGGATACAGAATTTATGTCTAAGGGGCATGACTGGATGTGTAATATATCCAAGTGTATAAAAATAGAACCTGCATTTTAATGGATTCTGTAATACATATTTTTGATGCTAAAGTTTTGGGGGAATGGACTTTCAAATTCATTTCAAATATTAAAAAGAAATGATTTAGGGAGTGAGGAAGGATGGATGGATATGTTTTTTAATGCAAAAAACTGTTAGATATGATCTCAGTTTTTCTCATTCCCTCTTTCCCCCGTACAACCTCTTCCTACAAATATGTTTAGAGATACTCTGCTGCACTGAAATGTTGTGAAGTCACAAAATTCATTCACAATATGACTCAAATATGCCATGAAATGTCTCTCCTCCATCTTGCCTAAACTAACCTAGTCTTCCTGATTTTAACTTTTAATATTATCTTGTTCAAAGCCTTCTCTGATCTAATAATTTAAATAGTCTCTTTAAATAATGCTAAGTCTTTCTGAAGGGAGGAGCTTGGCCTCTTAGATTTCTCAGTCATCTTCATCCAACCCAGACTCTTTTGCAAAAATGGCATCAAGGAGGGGCACCTGGGTGGCCCAGTCAGTTAAGTGTCTGCCTTCAACTCAGGTCATGATCCCAGGGTCCTGGGATTGAGCCCTAAGAAGGGCTCCCCATTCAGTGGGGAGTCTTCTTCTTCCTCTCCCTCTGCCCCTCTACCCCTTGCCCCACCTCTTGTGCACTCTCTCTCAAATAAATAAAATCTTAAAAAAAAAAATGGCACCAAGGAGAGAAAAGTGGCTTTGGGCCCTAATGGTGGAGGTGGGAAGCTGAGGTCTCTGGGCACAAAGGTCTGACTTGTCTGGTCTACAGGCTGGTGCCTCTTGGCCACTCAGTGGCTGCCTTGCTGGTATTCACACCTGAAGTCTGCGGTGAGCTCATAACCCATGCTCCTAGCTTTGGCTAGCCCACTGGGAAGTATAGGCTAATCCAGCAGCCATCCTTTACCTTTTGCTAGATGCAGGCCACAAATTCTCTGCCACATCTCTAGCAGAGTCCACGTGTTCTTGCCACACAACAGACTAGTAAATTGGGAGGCAAATTGCTGGGGGAAGGAAAGCAACTTTATTTAGAAAGCCAGCAGACCAAGGAGATAGCAGACTGTGGTCCCCAAGAGCATCTTTCTTCAGCATGAAATGTGAGCTTCTTTTATTTTAGGAGGAGGCTGGAATCAAGAGGTGACTGATGTCTGTAGACATTCAGGAGCCCACAGGGTCCAGGGAAGGTTATGAAACTTTTCTGTCCTTGGTTACTTCATCTTTGTGTGCAGGAATCCAGTCATGGCATCCTTGTAAACCTTAAACATAGCATTGTTCTTTCTACACGTACTTCCTTTTCTTTTTGGGTGAAGTGGGTGTTGGGAAAAGAGTGGTTTTTGCATGTCTCAGCTGCAGCACACCTATGTGCAGGGCTCCACAGATGTCTGTCAGCCCTAGGTCGCAGCAGCAAGGGAAAGAGGTGACACAGAATCAGACATGCTAAGTGTCTCCCTATGATGCATTCTCTTTGCAGCCTATGGCTCAGGGGTCCACCCCTTGCCCTCTGTTCTGGCATAACCTCATCCCATCACAGCCAGACACATGGCTCTCAACCCAGCACCCAAACCCTTGGGTGCTCAGAGTGTCTTGTGGGGGGGGGGGGGCGTGGGGCTGAGCCACAGTAAGTCCTTCCTCAGCTGCTGCCCCCCTCCCTCAGGAATCTCCTTTCCAGCAGACTGAGCTCAGACACCCACCCACTGGAGCCTCCTGTTTCTTCCTGTTTCTTCCTGTCCCTGTCTTCCTTCCTACAATCCTTGTAGCCTAGAGACGTAGGCTTTCCCCTCTGCCCCATCCTCCTCAACTACTTTGGCTTTTAATGGAAAAGCGATATTTCTCCTGTGCTCTGTAGGGAGCATTCTGTGACATGAGCCAGCCTCAGGCAGTTTAGACAACTGTGGAATCAGAAGGGCAAAACAGCAAAGTGCTCCAGTAACTTTCAGAGTGAATTCCTGCTACAAGTACTTCTTACAATCATGTCCTCTTCTGCATTCCAGATGAAGATCTTTGACAAAAATAAGGATGGCCGGTTGGATCTGAATGACTTGGCAAGGTGAGTAGTCTGGGAACAGTGTTGCAGACTTAGACACACCATCATGGGGGTTCCATGATACACACACTTCTCTTTGAAAGGCAGAGGTCAGATCTTGCCTGGAACCCTGAAGAATGGGCTCATCTGGCCAAATGAACAGCAGTTGTTTTCAGTCTTCTGGGGGTGACAGATCCCTTTGTAAAGATAATAAAAGTCCCCCCACCAAAGGCACAATACACAAAGTTTTCATAAAATTTTATAGGTAGGTCATGGGCCAGCCCTGCCTTCAAAGGCCAGACATTCCTGGTCTCACATAAGGACCCCATGAAAACATAAGTCTGGAATCCCATTCACTGCTCTGGGAAAGCAGAGTGGTAAGTTCAGGACTGAGGACGACTGAACCAGACTCCATCCGTGCTGTCTGGTTTTTTGGTGTTGGCGTAGCCTCCTTGGGCACCCAGCCAGAGTGTAGGAGAAGGGTGACAGCAGAAGTAGCCCAGTACCTGCAAAAGGGCTGTCTGTAAGGCCAGGGTTGTGACACGATGGGCATGTCAGCATGTCATCTCAAGGCTAGCTGACCCTGAGATGACCTGTGGTGGTCCATAGAAAGGGAAAAAAAAAAAATCACTGGATCCAGAATACATGGGTAAAACCAGATGGAGCAGTTATGATCCCAGGTGCCTGAGGATGGGGCAGATGGAGTCACAGCACAGACAGTGACAGAGGGTGGCAGTTACAGGCTGCAGGGCACAAGGAGGTTTGGCTGGGAGACGGGGAGTCCATGGACTGGGGGTGATATTCAGTGATGGAATATCTTGGCTAGATCATAAGCAGATATTAACTTGGCAATGGTTAACTTGGCAATGTCATAAGCAGATATTAACTTGAGTTCAAAATCACAAAGCCCATACCAGCTACCTCCTCTCTTGATAGCAACATCTGTGAGTTCTTGCAGGGGATCTACTAATGGGGACACACCAGGAAGAACCTCTCCTTAGTGGTGACCAGGACATTGACCCCAACACTCTACTGGGTCTTCTATTCTGAGCCTCATCCTCCGTGACTCCTTCTCCAGGACGCTCATCCCAAATTTGGCCACTTTGCTGGAGAAGAGGCATGGAGAGACCAGCCAGACCAGAGGGGGATAAGAGTGTTTCTCCCAAAGGTTGAGGACGGAGGGATCTCCACCTTGTAGCCTTGGAGATTTGTCCCCTGGGTCCCACTCACTTCTCATTCTTTTGGCCAACTGAAGCAAAAGTTCCTGTCAAATAGAGGTCAGTCTAGCTAATCTGAGAGCTGTGTAAGCACCAGTCCTAATAGGAATACCCAAAAGCCTAAAAGATTCACTCAAAACATGGCATCTGGATGAAAACAAGAACATTTGATTTCATTGCTCCCCTCACCAAAAGCACACACCACCTGAATGACTCAAGGCACTTCTCAGAGGTAGTAAGTCGAGGAGCCTCGAGCGCCCTCTGGAGGCCAGAGTGTGCCACTACCGGAAGCTGCTCTCTACCCTGTCATCAGTGATGCTTTTACTTCTGAAATGAAATCCAAAGATAATACACTCTACCTGTGCACATAATGCTAAAACAGTTAGTATAGTGCACAAACTAGAACACATAAAGGGGAAATAAAGGAAAACAATTAATAATAAAATAAAGTGTATTTCAGTGTCTAGGTGGCTGGACAGACCCACAGGGAAGACATACCTGAGGGGAGGCTGCTTACATCTTGGTGCAGAATTACCACGAAAATGTCAGTTCACAGGCTGATTGATACAAAAATGGCCTTTTGGCAACTCACATGTCAGGAACTCACTTGCTGTTGATACAATTTTATAAAAAATAAATAAGTCCTGATTGAGTTCCGAATGAAACAAAGCGCAGTCATCCCTCAATTTACGTGACTCAGATTATAGGGATAATGGACACAATTAGTAAATTATGTATACCTTGAGAAAAATACCTGGGATTTTTATGTAAATAGGAATTCAGTTCTTGGTTCAAGTAGAATTTTAAGCAGGATTTGTGTGCACGTGAGAGCTCCCTGCACATTCCAGTTTCAGGTGAGATATGGGATGATTCCCACAGAACTTTCCATGCAATGCACAACATCTAGCATCCCGGGTCCTCATCTATAGAGGTCATGTCCCTTCTGTCAGTCATCCCCTCTGTCACTGTGGTTACCAAAAGGACCCCTGCAGCTAGCCAAACATCCCCCCGCTGGGGTCCTACTATTCATGCCCTAATCTCTCTTTTTTTTTTTTTTTTAAGATTTTATTTATTTATTTGACAGACAGAGATCACAAGTAGGCAGAGAGGCAGGCAGAGAGAGAGGAAGGGAAGCAGGCTCCCTGCTGAGCAGAGAGCCCGATGCGGGACTCGATCCCAGGACCCTGAGATCATGACCTGAGCCAAAGGCAGAGGCTTAACCCACTGAGCCACCCAGGCGCCCTCATGCCCTAATCTCTTGAATAGCTTCTCTGCCGGTGGAGTGTTGTGTATAGAGAAGGATTCAAAGAGCAGATGTGAACTGCAGGAAGAATTGACTTCATATGCAAAGTGACGAGAGTTACCACATTCTTTTGAAACCAATATGATACGGAATTTGACAGTGACAATGGGGTAGGCAGAATAAAGGTGTCCATGTCCAAATTCCTGGAACCACTGAACATTTTATGTTACATGGCAAGGATCCATGCAGGTTGCAGAGAGCAATGAAGTCACTCACTGACAGACCTTCCAGAGATTAGTCTGGATTATCCAGGTCAGCCCAAAGGTAATAACAAGGGTCCTCCAAATGGGGAAGAAGGAAGCAGAGGGTCGGGTTTTGAAGGCTTTGAGGTGGAGAAAGGGGCCATGAGCCCAAGAAGGCAGGCAGCTTCTAGAAGCTGGAAAAGACAAGGAAAGGGACTCTCCCCTGGAGCCTCCAGAAGGAGGCAGTCCTGTGACACCTCGATTTTAGCCTGAAGAAATCTGCCTCTGACTCTGATTTCCAGTATTGTAAGACGCTGACTTGCGCTGCTGAAGCCACCATGTTGGGATCATTTGTCATAGCAATAGGGAAATAAATGAATGACTCAAAGGCCTTAAAACATTTATACACAGACTCTCCTCTCTCTGTTGCCACCTCTAGAACGGAGCCTTCTCACTCCACATGCGAGCTCCCCTCAGGCACATGTCCTCTCACTGGCGACATACTTTAGGCTGCTTGGTGCCAACCAGGAGATAAGGACAGGATTCCTCATAGAGTTCCAGGACAGTCTACCCTTTACCTGGATCAGATTCTCTTTACCAGGGGCATCCAGAAGAGCAAAATGTTCCAAAATCATTGTGTGATATTTTTCTGCCTTTCTCTATATTGTGAATGCATGATTATGAATGCAACATAAATCCAACGTTTTAGTCTTTGGAAACTGACTGTAGTCTAGTAAATACAACTGTAATGAAGCAGAAAGTACAGAAATACTTTTGTTTTCCAAAACAAAAGTATTTTTGTTTTATTATTTTTCCCATATTTTTTTAAAATTGAGTATCATTTTGCCTTATAACATTTACTATAAAGTGTACAATTCGGTATACTTTAGTCTATTCATGAGGCTGTGCAACCATCACCACTGCCCATTTCTAGAACATTTTTATTGTGCCAGAAAAATACTCCACCCAGCAGGGATTACTCTCTCCTACCCTCGCCTACCAACCCCTGATAACCACTAATCTATTTTCTGTTTCCACGGATCTGTTTTTCTAGGTATTTCACATATATGAAATCATATAATACATGACCTTTCATGTCTGGCTGAGGTTCTTTATTTCTTCACGTGGACTAAAGCAACTGTCTCATGTTCTTTTCATTTCAGTGCGAAGAATCCCTTTAGTATTTCTCACGGATCACGTGTATTGTTGTTGATAACTGTTGTCTTTTTGCTTAATGACCTTTTGGAACTCATCCTATAAAATCTTGATCTTTGTCATATGTGGACACTGAAGTCTCTGCTTGGTTGCTGAACGGTTAGTTAATGACTGGGCAGAGATTTCTTGTCTGTCTCCCAATGTTTGTGTGGGGCCCCGTGTATGGGTTGGGCCCATCTTTCATATGCAACCAGGAAGTTTACAATTCTGCTTAGCCTTAACTTCCTGCTTTTACAGAGCCCAAGGAAAAGCTGCTGGTGAGACCTTAGGGCCTCCCGAGGTCTTTTCTGTGCACACACGCAGTCCTGGGCATGGACGTAGTCTTATGCATGTCTACAGCCTTCTAGATTCTCAGAAATATGTTGGAGCTTAGATAAGCCCCAGTGGACATCTCATTCCCCCAGATTTTCCTTTTAAGCTTTTTACTTAGACTGCTGTTTACCCAAACTCTTTTCTTTTCTTTAAAGATTTTATTTATTTGACAGAGAGACAGAGTGTGGAGGGGGGGGCGAGGGGCAGAGGGAGAGGGAGAAGCAGACTCCCCACTGAGCAGGGAGCCAGAGGCGGGACTTGATCCCAGGACCCTGAGATCATGACCTAACCTGAAGTCAGACACTTCACCAACAGAGCCACCCAGGTACCCATTTGCCCAAAATTTTATTTTCCATTGTCACCTGTGATCTTAAATAACTGCTTTTCATTGTTTTTGACAAATGCTCCCAGGTAAAATGCTTTCCCACTAGCTGACATCAAAATCAGGTCAAATAAGTGCACCCTGCAAGTGGGGTCGCTCAGAGAACATCAGGAAAGTCAAATAATGGCAGTTCTCTGGCAGTTAGGTTTTGAAAGGGCTCCAGCTCTGCTCTGCTCACCACAGAGCAGCTGCTAGAACGCTCATTTTCCCTGGGGCTATGGGCTTTTCATTTTCAAAGACACAATAGAGCTGAGGAGGGTAGAAGGATGAAGCAAGTTAAGATGCCACCACATCCACTGTTCTTACCAAGATTTAGTCATGTTTTTGGAAATAAACACTCCCCAGATTTCTGTAAGACTTGAATTTCTAGAATTCTGAAGAAGTCATTTTGACTATTTTTTTTCTTTTTGGACAGCTTTCTCATTGCTGTTATGGAGGAGAGAGTTTTCATAAGCCTTTCCTCTGCCATTTTCCACCAAAACAACTTTTTTTTAAAAGATTTTATTTATTTATTTGACAGAAAGCATAAGTAGGCAGAGAGGTAGGCAGAGGGAGAAAGGGAAGCAGGCTCCCTGCTGAGCAGAGAACCCAATGTGCGGCTCAATCCCAGGACCCCGGGATCATGACCTGAGCTGAAGGCAGATACTTAACCGACTGAACCACCCAAGCTCCCCCACCAAGATGACTTTTTAAAAGTCTCTCTGTGGTGACTGCTAATCCCTATGAAAAGTCTCTCCCAATTAATTTTTTAATTTGTTCTTATAATATAGAAATTTCCTGTTTTTCAAGCGCTCACCCTATTCTGTAGAAAGATCTGGAAATTGCCTGCCCTTTCCTCATGCAAGAGTTACAGATCTGCTTGCCTCTGAGAGCTGACAGATCATCACATAAATTACTTTCTTTTCTTCTTTTCCATTTAGGATTTTGGCTCTTCAGGAAAACTTCCTTCTCCAATTTAAAATGGACGTAAGTAGTGACATTCCTCTAAGTGGGCTTGTGTCATTCTTGTCTCTCCATAAATTCGAGAGGGAGGGAAGAAAGGAAGGCATCTGTTTGTCTTGTGTAATTTATCTGGAGACCGACAAGTCTTAAATGTTAGAATCAAGGGATTAAGGGTCATTGGCTCAAAGTTTATAAAAGTCGTTTATGACCCTGGAAAAACGGTACAACTGAAGGGTCCCGATGCTGGACTCACATCCTGTTTTCTCCGCACACAGGCTTGTTCCACTGAAGAAAGAAAGAGGGACTTTGAGAAAATCTTCGCCCACTATGATGTTGTAAGTGTGTCCTTTTGGGTTGTGCTGACTACTTTTAGGGAGCAAACTAGTTTAGTCCCTATGTGGGGTCATCCTACCCACAGACCCTAAACTGATATGATGAACCCGAATCCCACATGTCTTCTGCTATGTCTTAACCCTCGGCTTCTCCACGAAAACCAAAAACTACATTAAAATGGACAAAGGAGTATTCATGGTTGAGAAGAGAATAAAATCTCATTTTGTTTTTGTTTTTTTCTCTTTGGCTCCACACTGGGGGAGAACTTTTCTCCTTCTTGATCTCCATCTAGAAAAGTATGCTTGAAAACAAAAGCAAACAAAATCAAGTTACAGACCACATCCAACCCAAAGAAACAGAGGCAAAGTGAGCTCTGGTCAGCATAAAAACCACTTCTCTTATAGGATTGATTATGTGGTTCTTCTTCAGACAGGAGAAAAGAATAATTCTAAAGCACAAAGTATGGCAAGGAGGTTGCATTTCTCGAGGACAAGGTAGGGTAATGCAAGAAGGAAGAAAAATGAGAAAGTTAGGAAGAGTCAGAAGAGATGCCATCCTGAAACCCACCAGACTGGGCATGTGAATGTGTCATACTCTGAGCAGAAACGAGCATCAGCCTGGGAGACGCGGCTCGGCAAAGTGATTACATGTCTAGCCTCTGTGCCCCGTCACCTGCGCATGAATCACGCCTCGTTAGCCACGGGACTTTGGGCAGGTTCCTTAACCTCCCTGGGCCTCATTTCCCTTACCTGTTAAGTTAGGGTGATGAGGCTAATAATAATAATACCTACCACATGGGACTGGGGTGAGAATTCAGTGATTTCATGTTTGTAAAGCTTTTAGAAGGTGTTGGCAGGTAGCGTTTGGTAAATGTACTACTTAAAAAAAATAGATTTTTTAAAATGATATGTTAAAGGTTCAAGGTGAAGAAAACTCAAAAAGATGGATGGATGCGTTGTCATGACTGGAACTTTAGAGATGAAACTGAAATATTTTAATATGTATTGTATTTTATAGACATTCTTATAAAATGAGTAGGAAAAAAGTAAGCATTTTGTGTATGGACCAAATAATAATTCTAATACACTCAGTCAATATAGTCACTCCCGATTTAAAATTTTAATAATCTTGAGGTCCTTGCTAAATCATAAAGCACAATTTTAAAAAGCGTCAGCCTCTATCCTTCTAAGGACCGACATGATGTGCAAATAACACTTGTCTCCCTGAAGCAGGATCCTTGGGAAGCGAATGAAGTCGGTATGTATCATGTTAACGCGATTTGCGGGAGCCAAGGAACTCCCATTTGCTTATATGGGGGTCGCTGTGTACAATTAATTATTTTCTTGTCTGTGGAACGTTCACATCCTACACAGAGAAACTAACTGGAATGTACCGTTCCCGAACCTGTTTGCAACCACAAAAGAACACTGATTTGCTCTTTAGCTTTCTGACTTCAGCAAATGGTGTCTGACGGAGTGGCTCTTGTCTCTTTCAGAGTAGAACAGGAGCTCTGGAAGGCCCGGAAGTGGATGGCTTTGTCAAGGACATGATGGAGCTGGTCCAGGTGATTTGAGGGGGTGTAAAGGTTATGCTCCTCATGGGTCGGGGATGCCGTTGTGACCGATTCCACTGTTTACTTCTGAGCACCCGTAGGGCTGATGATTAATACCAGGGACCAAATCTAGGGACACGGTCTGTTTAACAACATTTGAACTTCTGTGAGAACCGACATGTCTCCCTTTCTCTCTTAAGACCATTTGTAGTTTCATGAAGCCCCCATAGCACCTTCTTGTTTCTACCATATAAAAGCCCTCTCTTTTACCAGAGGGGTGCAGTTCTGTTTATTTTTTGGTTACAGAAAGGCCTTTCTACTCCTGGACTTGGTTACTAGAATACCTAAAACTTTTAATTTAATTATGAAATCAATCCTGTATTTGGTATCCATGCCCTCCCCCCGACCGCCATCAGGGGCTGCTTTAAGGCCTCGCCTAAAATCTAGGCTACGTATGTGTCAGGACACGTTGCTGCAATTCGAAGTGACAGGATTTAGTTATAATCCACATTACAAAGCTGTTTTAGGTAGTGTGGACTTTAAAACAAGCAATCTCCTTGGAGATCCTGGTGCACTCTAGTAACTGGCTGTGGGATCTGGCTAAGCAGACACTTTGCAACTCTTCCTTTCCTCTGGGACTGTCTAGCCACTGAATTTAGCACATTCAAATCCTTAGAGATTTTTTGAGGTTTACACAGGACACGATGATTCCGTCCTGGTTGGCCCAGATGGCAACAAATTAGAGTAGCAATTGTTAATTGGTTCCGGAATCCCAGACCTGTTTGAAAACCTGATTAAAACTGTGGAGTCTGGGGGGCACCTGGGTGGCTTTGTCGGTGAAGCATCCACTCCTGATTTTGGCTCCGGTCAAGATCTTGGCGTCGTGAGATCGAGCCCCCTGTTGGGCTCTGCACTGGGCATGACGCCTGCTTGTGATTCTCTCTCCCTCTCACCCTGCTCTGCTTGCTGGCGTGCTCGTGCTCTCTCTTTCCCTCACAACCACCACAAAACTATGGAGTTTTGCAGCAGAAACGCCCCCTCCCCCCAGTTTACCAACGTTTGCATGAATGTGCAGCAAGCTCACGTCATGTGATTGAGTAGGCATGAATGAGGTTTTTCTTCTCATCCATCAGAGGTCAGGACCTCTGATCAGGATGACACTGGTGTGTTCTTTGCCTCCTTGCTTGCCTTGTTCCCCTCCCAGCTGGTCCCCCACCTCTTCTTTATTCCCTTCCCGGGTGCTCCTGTCTGCGACTCCCCGGGCATTTGCGCAACCACAGAACAGTGGATGGTCTGAGTGTGATAGTGCCTTTCGCACTGATTGCCAAGATAAGTCCCACTGTATTTACTATCTATTTAATGCCAGAACGATTTCTGTAATGGAAACTGAGCAGTTATCTATGGGACATTAAAATCGCACGGCAGTAGGCTTGGCCAAATTGCAGTTTTAATTTGCCTTTGATAGAGAGCATGGAATGGGGGGGGAACCTGCCTCTCAGAGCAGCTTTGTGGAGCCCCGGCTGCTGACTGCTCAAGTCCGCAGCCGCGGGGCTGCACAGCCCTCCAGACCCTTTCAGCTGTCACTGAGCTTGGCAATGGCTTCCACAAGTTACTGGAAGATATTGAAGGTCTGAAAACCTAAACCAGCCATAGAGCAGAGAAGATGTTTTCCCAGAGAAAATGAAAGAGCAGGGGAAATTTCTAGGCCACCCAAAAACATGTGGTTTGCCTCACTCTTTGATAGATTCATATCACCTCCATGGGAAGCCAGGGGACGCCCATCACTCTTGTCCTTGCCCCCCTTATTTGGGTGGGCCTTCTGGCATGACAAAAAGGTATCTCTCAATGTAAGTACCAGCCAGGCGAAGAGAGCTGGTTTCCAAGGACTGAGTGAGGCCAGCGTCAGTAGTAGAAAAGCAGGTAATGAGGGCTGGTTTGTTGAGCTAAAAAGTATTACAAAGCAGTTAATTATTAATGTTTTCCTCCGAAGCCAGATCATTGAGGTGCAAACCTCTATTGGAGCTTTCCCAGTCTTTGGAGTTGCTTAAAAAACTATTCACCATACAACTTGAAAGATGTTGTCAAGGGAAAATCTTTTGAGTAAATCTGACATTTCTCAGGTTCATACACTAGAGTCCTCTCCTGCGACTTTTAAATTTTCATTACATTAGAAAGGATCATGGGACAAGTCGACAAACCAATATCTGGAATTTTTTAAGATTTTACTTATTTATTTATTTGAGAGCGAGAGCACATGAGCATGGAGAGGGGCAGAAGAAGAGGGAGAAGCAACTTTCCACTGAGCAGGGAGCCTGACGTGGGGCTCAATCCCAGGACCCTGGGATCATGACCCGAGCCAAAGGCAGGCGCTTAACCAACTGAGCCACCCAGGCGCCCCTGATAATTACTTTTAAAGCAATTATTCTCCATCCCATGCTTTTAAAGCAAATTCTAGGGGCGCCTGGGTGGCTCAGTGGGTTAAGCCTCTGCCTTCGGTTCAGGTCATGATCCCAGGGTCCTGGGATCGAGCCCCACGTTGGGCTCCCTGCTCGGTGGGAAGCTGCTTCTCCCTCTCTCACTCCCCTTGCTTGTGTTCCCTTTTTCGCTATGTCTCTCTCTGTCAAATAAACAAATCTTAAAAAAATAAAAAGTAAGAAAAAAAAATAAAAGCAATTATCAGAGCATGTCATGAGGTCAGCAGGGAGGTGGCAGAGTTTCTCAGGAGAGAGTCCTGGTCAGGATCCCTGATGTTTGCAATAATGACCCTGAAATAAATGGACTTTATGGCCTTTCTTTCCTGTACAATTATGTATGATACATATGTTGAATCTGTATTAACAAAATTATCTGGTTATCAGAACATCCCGTTCCCTGATCTCTGGAATATGGCCGCCAAGGCTGTCCTCTGTCAGTATGATGAGATCAGACAAAATAATTTCTGCACAAGGTTTATAAAAAGTCCATAGGCCCCTTGGCACAGCACAAAAATCAACATGAGAATCTACAGCTCAAAGAAGAAAGCAGAAAGGCAAGACAGTTGAGACACCCAGCACCCCCACACCAAGAAGTGTGGGTGGCAACGTGGGAAGCCAGACAGATGGGATGCCAGAGATGCCCAGGGTGTCTGCCTGGAGGGGATGAGAGTTCCAGTCTCCAGGCTCCCCTAAATTCATTCTTTTCCCTGCTAGACTCCCCTTCTGCTTTTCTCTGTTGGCAAGGAAATGATTAGCAACAGGGGACAATACTTAACCTACAGGATCGAATCCAATATATGTCCCTCCAAAGAGCTGCTACCCCTTAGCAGGTGTTTCTTTTCATTTTTTAAATTATAAAAATGATACATACATCGTGGAGAAACTTGAAAGTAGAGAAAAGAAAAGACAGAAGAGTACTCTCTAACCTCAAGTAGACCTCATAACAGACTTCGTATTGGCTATATTCTGCATAAAGTATATTATGCTCCACTGACAAGCATTTCCCAGTCGCCGTCATTGTGTTGGTGTCTGTATAAGATTTTACCTGTGGTTAGATATCCCTTACATCCCTTATAGTCCTCTTTTGCTAGTAATTTTTAAAAAATTATTAATTTTTTTGGAAAAAAAATTTTTAAGTATTGTCTACATCCAGGGTGGGACTCCTTCTTTTGCTGGTAATTGAAATTGTTTACCAGGTTTGTGACTCCAAGTACCACTCAGTGAGTGTTTTTTTATGTAAGTGTCTGGGTTTTAGGCCTGATCCCAGGAGTGGAATCGAGGGATTTGCACACTTTCACGTTGCTCACACCTGCTGTCCCATTTTAGAAGAGCAGTGCTGGCTTCTTCCTTTCCATCTTTGACATCCTTTCTTCTGGTCCCACCTGCCCTCCCCACACCACCCGGAAAGACAGTGACATCATTTAGACCCACGCTTGCCCGTCAAGGAAGAACACAGGCAGAGGGATGTTGGTGACGTTGTGTGCTGCCGTCCCTTGGGGGACAGATAGCTTTTAAGAAAAGACAACAGGTGGTAAGGGGAAGGCAGTGTAACCCCAAACAAGGAGTGCTACGGCGGGGGACTCCGTGATGTGTCTCCTGAGCTCACGTTACTACGCATTCCCCGGGGTATGCCTCTCTCTGCTGGACTTCCCACAGTCTGATCGGGTCCTTCCATCTGCCTAGCAAGATGATCCCAAGAGAACACTAAGAGAGTGCCCCCTCTTTCTTGGAAAACATGCAATTGTGGGTGATCGTTAGAAGAACCGGCCCAGGCTTGCTGGCCACAACCTGGCTGAAGTCGTAGACAATAATGGTTTAGCCTCTACACATCACCGCGGGGTTTTCAGACACCCGTATGGTCAATAAATAGCCAAGTGCAGCCCACAACGTATTATGAGTCTGCTCGGCTACAGAGTGAGTTTCTGGCTAAATGTTCTGATCAGGAGAGTTATCCTAGTGGTTTATAATAAAGAGCACTTGCCTTGGTCAAAGCTAGAATTCCGTCCCACTAGGGGCCAGAAGGTGGCCCACGCAGGGCCTTGGGGACTTGTTGCTGACTCTATCATGGAGATTTGGGGAGTGCTGGTAAGGACGTATTTGGGGACGGGGTCTGGATATTCACTTCCACTAAAACAGGAGAGATGAAATGTCCAGGAAAGGGAAGGCACATGACAAAAACGTGAAGACTGCATTTGGAGACGGTCACTCATTAATTCCATGTATGTAATTGAGCACTTACCACAGGCAAGCATGAGAAGACAGATCCAGACCCAAAGGTTCCCCTAGTCCCAGGATTCAAGTGTTGGGGGAGGGGAGAGTTAAGCATTTTTCAGCCAACTACCCCGGATCCACCCTCGCACTCTCCCATGAGATGGATAAGAAACAAAAAATGCATTTTGCACGGCCGGTTATGATATAGTGCTCCGTTAAAGAGATGTGCTCTGGGGCTTGCCTGCCCGAGTTTGTATCTGGTTCTGACATGGGCCAGCTGTGTGACAGTGGGAAAGTTAATTAACCTCTCTGTGCTTTAGTTTTCTCATCTGTCAGTTAAAAGCTGATAGTAGATACAACCTCATCAGGTTGTTGTGAAAGTAGAATTAATTTGTGTAGAACCCTTAGGTCTTGAACCTGTGTGCACTTACACTGGTGACTTGCTGTTAAAACTGAGGCCCCCCAGTGATCTCAGGTGATTTCTCTTCCATGATCCAAACATTGTTGAACAGCAGTATTTAGGTCTCCCGACTCCTAGTGAGTTGTCAAACATTAAAAGCATAACTCAAAAGGTCAGTTATGCTCAAAAGCATAACTCAAAAGAAACTTCCCTTACATACCTCATTACATACATTCATACCCTCCCCTAACACACACTCACACATTCACAACATAATTCCTTTTACAGAAAACAAATTAAAAAACAAAAAAAAGGGCTTAGACTATCTTAAATTATGTAAATTCACTGGCAAAGTAATTCGTGCTACTGTGTAAATAACTACCACGAGTATTTCCTAAGCGTGGGAATTTGCTAAGAGGATCCTGGGGCAGAGAGCCGCTAACTGGGCAAAGGCTGTGTCAGGAGTGGTTGAAGAGTTGATAACCAAAGGGCCCCACTTTGCAACCGTACAAGAAATGAGCTCCCAGTATGGAGCCATGGAGTGTTCCTTGCTGCCTTCAGGACTCCTAAGCCATTTCCTGGACCACAGCTATACCTGCCAGCCACTGATGCACAAGGAAGTATCCTGGGTGAGCCCCAGTGAGGAGGACATAGTGATTGTATGTGACATCTCAGTCTTTTGGTCCAATCACTGACGGACCCTCCATTGGGGAGTGCTATTGGCCCCAGATTCACGTCCGGATGTCCCCTGCCCCACGTCGGGGGTTAATGTCACTCTGCCACCTGACTCCCAGTTCGTGCCACTCTCTGCCCTCCATTCTTCCCTCCATGGAAACCTGGGATCAGGGATAGACTTGGTGTCACTCATCTATCCTGGAGGACAGTGCTAATTAGCTTGTCTTAATTGGGCCGTCTTGATGAAGAATGAAAGTTTATGTTTCTTTCTCAAGGTGTTTGGAGATTTCTTTGACAGCGAGGCAACCCTGGGGTGGGCTGGGTGATGGGGAGAGCTTCCCTGCCTCCTCTGCTTGCCAGTGAGACCCGCCCAGTAATCAGGGGGCTTGGGATCTGATGGGCTGGCTCTCCCCTCTCCACTGACATGGGCTTTTTCTCTCAGACCCCGAGCCTTCACACCACTGGTCAGGCCGCTGCCTCTCCAGCAGGACGGTGTGAACCGGGGGAACAAGTTCTTACTTCATTGGAGGCAGAAGACTCAGGATCAGAAATGCTGTTGCAATTTCCTAGCTTGGCAGGACCATTCAGCTCTGAGCATCCGTGCCCTAATCTGTAAGCCTGGGTTACCCCAAGGTTATCATGAGCATTAAATGAAATAGCCTGTGGAGAACCACTCAGTTCGCACACTGCTCACTTCTGCGGGCCTTTTGAGTTCGAAATTATTTTCCCAAATGATGCGTATCGTGGTTCCTTCTCAGACCCTAAAATATCCCTTGGGATCAATCTGACGGTCTTCAGCTCAGGGACATACTCTTCTGGTTCAATTTTCATTCATTATAACCTTTTATAAAATTAGAGGCACATGGGATGCCTGGGTGGCTCAGTCGGTTAAGCATCTGCCTTCAGCTCAGGTCATGATCCCAGAGTCCTGGTATCAAGTCCCGTTTTGGGCTCCCTGCTCAGTGGGGAGTCTGCTTCTCCCTCTCCCTCTGCTCATGCTCTCTCTCACATAAATAAAACATTTTTTAAAAAATTAAAAAAAATAAAATTAGAGGCACAAAAACCTCCCACGGGGAGAGACTAGAACAGGTCTTCTCTCATCCATGTCCCCATCCCCTGCTCCGAGGCACAGTATCTTCATCACGACGAGGAGATGCACTCGGGGCAGGCCTGTCTCCATGGAGCCCCTCGGCAGCCACGGGGTCTGCTAAGTGTAGTGAGTGTGGGGCTGGGGTGGCATGAAAGCCCGGCGCCCCTCTGGCTGGCCCCCCTGTACGCGTCTGTTCTCTTTGCTGTCCGCAGCCCAGCATCAGCGGAGTGGACCTTGATAAGTTCCGGGAGATTCTTTTGCGCCACTGCGATGTGAACAAGGATGGAAAAATTCAGAAGTCCGAGCTGGCTTTGTGTCTCGGGCTGAAAATCAACCCATAACCCCCAGAACGCTTTGCCTTTTGCTCTTAGGGTGTCTCTGTGCTCCTGCTGCTAAACTTCTGTCGGTGCTTTGCTGTGGGGACGCCTGGGCAGACTTTCTGACGAACCGCGTGGTATTCTTGGGCAGGGCCGAGGGCCTTCCTGCTGAGGCCGTGGTGTTCTCCCGCCTGGCCGAAAGCCCCCCCCAAGTAGTACCCCCCCATGTTATCCACTCCCCAACCCCCGCCGCCCCCAGAATCATCTAGCTCGCTGCGTCTGCTCTGCCTATCCTCCCTCGGTCATCAGGCAGGCAGGGAGCTGTGTCCATCTGTCTGTGCTCCCTCATGGGCTTTCTGCCCAGTTCCGTGTCTGTGGCAGTCCTGTGACCTCTACACATTGATTTTGTCATGGAAATAAACCTGTGGCTGGAAACAAAGACGCACTGGTCCCTGTTTTTGTGTTATGATCTTTGCAGTGCTCTACCAGATGGTTCCATGACTTAGGGTGGGCGTGGTGAGAAGAACAGAGACCGGCAGGATCCAAATGGAACCCACCCCCGCTTCCTTCCGTAGTTCACAGATGCCCTGGTCGGCGACTTTGCATGAAAGCAGCAGTTGCTAATAATCACTTCTTACTCATTGCACGGAGACCAGAACATTTGACCTGGGCTGCGTTTTGCTCTTAAGTGCTTTGTAATCTCAATGGCCATGAAGGTAGGAATAGAGGAGAAAATCTGAGAAAATGCTTCCCAGGTTATCCTCACGTCTGTTCCCCACTCTGTTCCTTCCCCCTCCTCCAGTGTCCTCTAGTGAACCTTTGACCTCCAAGTCTCATTTGACCTCCTCGAGCGTCTGGGCCCCTCTGCAGGTTGCAGGCTCCCCTTGGACCTCTGCTTCCTTCACCCGGGGGCTCTGGTACAGTCCCCACATTGGGTCTCACTGTGGGACCCACCGCAGTCCCATTTGTCCAAGTCCGGCTCACTCAATCTAGGGCCACTCTTGATGGGAGGCTGAAGAGAGCCCAGGCGGCAGCAAGGGGCCAGAGCAGCCCCCTTCTCACCGTGCAGCTGCTGAGCGAACCACGCACATGCGCACCCTTCAAGGAACAAACTTTGCTTTTCAGAGTTGAGATCGTCCAAACCCACAAGAGGGGAGGAAGAATGCATATCTCCAGGATTTCACATTATTCTGTAGAACCTCGGCTCCTCTTCTAAATAAATCTCCTGAGTTTTTACATTTTAACCATAACAGAAGTCCTTTATTTTAATGCAGTTGGACCTGCTTTACATTTATTTATTGCAAGGCAGCTTCTGTTTGGTTTGAAAAATCCAGTTTTTGGGGTCACAAATGCATTCTCTTCTGCTATCATTTTTTTAAAAGCTCTAAAAATTTTTTACATATAACTATTTTGGTTATGTATAGATACAAAATATACATGTAAATTTAGGTTAGGTTCATAAAAAATTTTCCATTTTTACCATTTTAAGTGTATCATTCCATGGTATTAATTACATCCACAATCTTAAGCAGCCATCAACACTATCTATGTACAAAACCCACTCATCGCTGCAAACGAAACCTCTGAACCCATAAGAACATAACTCTCCGTCCCCTCTACCCCCAGCCTCCGGTAACCTCTCATCTACTTTCTGGCTCTATGAATTCGCCTCTTCTAAGTATTCAGAACCTGAATCATACAATGTCTGTCCCTCTGTGTCTGGTTTATTCCACCTAGCATGTTTTCAGGATTCACCTGTGTCATAGCATGTATCAGGACCTCAACTGTCCTTAGAGATGAAGAATATTCCTTCTGTGGATATGCCACATGGCGCTTACCTGCACCTCTGCTGATGGACACTTGCTTTGTTTCCACCTTTTGCTTACTGAGAGTAGCAGCGCAATAAGCCCTGCCATGCCAGTATCTCAGTCCCTGTTTTCAGTTCTCTCATGTCTATACCCAGGACTGGAACAGCTGGGTCGCACGCTAAGTCTATGTTTATCTGCCTGAGGAACTGCCAAACTGGTTTCCACACGGCAGCGCCATTTTACATTCCTACCAGCCATGCATAAGGGTCCAATTTTAACCTTCTGCATCTAACTAGAGCCCTTTCTGGAACTGACCAAAGTAGAAACTGGATCCAAAGTTGCCCCTTAATTCACGACTCCTTCAGCTACATGAAGCGACCATTTGAGCTTACTGTTCCAGTGAGGGCCATAGAAATTCTTAGCCGAGGGTCCTCATCACCTCGGTGTCTATCTGAAGATGGCTGAGGTGGAGATAGGTGTGGAGGAGACGTTTGATTCTTTTAGGAGTAATTTTTCCAGACCCACCGGGGGCAGCCACTTGATCTCCACACCAGCAAGTGTTTAGTTCTAGCCTGTGGCCAAGACTCTACCAGACGCTGTCAGGCGGGGGCACGTGGGTGGCTCGCTCCATTAACTATCCGACTCTCGTTCGGCTCAGATCGTGACCTCATGACTCATGAGATCAACCCTTGCGTCCGACTCCAAGCTCCGCTTGAGATTCTCTCTTGCTCTCTCCCTCCTTCTGCCCCTCCCCACCATGCACATGCTCTCTCTCAAATGAATAAATCTTTAAAAAAAAGCAATCTCCCAGGCTTCCTGCCCAATCATAACTTGAGGTTGGTAAAGACCTTTCAAAGCATCCAAAGAAAAGGCTGGTGACTTTGAATGGGAAGAAGGTGTTCACTCAATGGCTCCCAATCATGAGGCTAGAGGGTTGGCAGTGGGCACAAAGGGGGCTTGGGGGGCTGGAAGGTGTCTCACTGCTCATGCCAGCAGGGGGAGGGGTGGATTTCGCAGCCCAGGGAAAGAGGCCAAAAGCCTGCAAGATGCTTCGTTCGGGGCCCAGGGCTTATGAGTGGCTCCTATCAGGGGGGTTGGAGGAAGGAGACCCAACTTTACAGCCTGTACCTGTGCTGGGTCACCCACTGCCCCATCATACGGCTTCTAATCCCAACATTTCCAGAGGACAGGAGTCACAGGCCACCCATGTACGGAAGGTATCGGTTCTGAGCTATGGTGGGTGGGTCTGATGCGAGCCCCAAGCCAGTGGGAGAGAGGGAGGTCTGAATTGAGACAGAGGTGGAATGGTCTTTTTCCCATAAGCCCACAAGCTCTAATTCCAAAATTCATGAGGAAGATGCAAGCCAGAAGGACTGATACAAGATTATAATGAACTGAACGTGTTCTCCATAAATTCATACATGAAAACCCTACTCCCCCCAGTGTGACCTTTGGGAGGTTGTTAGGATTAAATGAAGTATTTAGGATTAAAATAGGATTAGTGCCCAAAGAAAAGTCTTGAGAGAATTTGCCAGCTCCCCCAACCTCCTCTTCCTCTTCCTCTTTTTCTTCTTCCTCTCCTCCTCCTTCTCTCTCTCTCCCTCTTGCTCTCCCTCCCGCTCTCGCTCTCCCACACAGACAAGCTGGCAGTGTGCAGCCTGGAAGAGGGCCTTCACCAGAATATGATCATTCTGGAATCCTGATCTTGGACTTCCAAACTCCAGAAGTGTGAGAAATAAATTTCTGTTGTTTATAAGTTACCCAGTCTATGGTATTTTGTTACAGCAGCCCAAATGGACCGAGACATATAAAATAAAAATAATAGGGCCATCTGAGAATAGCTCTAAAATAAGTATGTTTGTTTTTGCTTAAAGATGTGCAGCTTATTTCTGGAAGGAAATCTGTAATTCATTTGCCTCCAGGAAAAGAAACTAGGTGACTATAGATGGGGTGGGAAGGAGACTTTACTGCATACACTTTGTATCTTTTGAATTTGGAACCATATAAATATATTATCTATTCAAACAAACTTATATGGTACAGAAATAAGCACATCCTTTTAAAACAAACTATCAATTATTAAAAAAACAGAAACGGAAGAGACACTGGTGGATGTGACTAACCCATTAGGAACCTGAAAATAAAATGTGTGATCACTGGAACAGTATCAGGGCAAGAGATAACTTTTGACTGGTCACAGTTGGAAGTAATTAGAAATAAGGCAGATAACTCACACAGCCGCATGGAGACATACTGAGATACAACAAATGTGAAAAAGAAGGTCAGACGGGTGCCTGGGTGACTCAGTCATTAAGTGTCTGACTTTGGCTCAGGTCATGATCCCAGGGTTCTGGGGCTCCCTGCTCAGTGGGGAGCCTGAGTCTCCCTCTCCCACTCCCCCTGCTTGTGTTCTCTGTCAAATAAATAAATAAAATCTTTAAAAAAAAATCAGAAACATAGTCCTGTAATAAAAGTCCATAGCATTTGTCTATAGCAATTCCCCTTCCCCCCCAAAAGGAATGGAAGGAAGAGTGGATAAACAAAACTTGGAAGAGATAATGGTTGAGAGCTTCCCGAAATAAAGATGGGAGTCCTCAGAATGTGAACACACACTGAAGGCTAAACATAATAAAAATAGCCTCATAGCAGACAACTTACATTGAAATTGTCAAAAATAAAGGCTTAAAAGGAAAAATCTCAAAAGCCATCCAAGGAAAAGGAGAGAAATACCTACTAAATGATGATAATTAGATTGTCAGTAGATTTTTTATCAGCAATGCTACATGCCAAAAGACGATGGTGCACTTCTAAGGAATGAAGGGCTATAACTAAAATATACTAGAATACATTACCTAGCTAAGCTATCATTCAAAACTGGGGTGAAATAACGTTTCTGATATGCAAATATTAAGAGGACTTTACCACTGTCCCTATAGGTTCTTATTGAAGGAACCAATAAAGGATGTATCTGAGCCAAAGAAAAGTAAATCCTAAAGAAAATTGTGGAACTCACAAATAACACAGACACTGATTTTTAAAAATCTAAACCTGAGAAATGGTGAAAGAGTTGGTCAAAATTAATATTAAAGGATATTCACTGTAGTATTCATTATAATAGAGAACATCTAGAAAGGTCGGCGATTAGGATGTGATTAAGTTAATGTTGCATCTGTAATGTGGCATATTTTCCCATTACACAGTGAGGAAAATGTTCTA